GAAAGTATTTTAAGATTACTATGTGTTAGGTACAGAATTGGATGCCATTTAACACACATTCTTCTCAAAATGGTACTAGATGTTCAAGACTAGTAGGTCAAGCACATATGTGCTAAATGCCCTTGATATATTTCTGGGATGCTTTTATTTGGTAAGAACAAAAGCAATGTAAATCTTATTTAATCTGTAAAAGTTTCATCCATAAATCCACAAATTGGACATTTTATATTCTAATTTAAATGCATCCTGCTTTAGAGCTTCTAAGCCTTGAAATTGCTAGATTGACGTCTAGTAATGAGGTCCAAAATATGGGAAGCAAATTAAGGTCAACAACCCAAGAGGCGAAAGAATCAATATCTCAAGAGAGGATGACTTGGGTTGACTGAAATGGAGACCTTTCTGGACACGAATGTAAAACTGGTAATGGGCACCTGAGTTGAGAAGCAAGTGTTATGCACCAAAACTATTAGATGCCATGAACATTGCAAACCCTTTTTTTTTTTCGGAGTTAACATTGCAAACTAATGTAGAACCCATTAGAATTACAATCTTTCTTGTCGTCTGTTTCAGTATATTGAGTGCTAATTGAGATGATAAGGACATATGACATAAACAATGAGTTGGACTAGGTTATTTGGCGAAATAATCTTGTATACTTCTGAGCATATCATCATAGGTATAAAGTGGCCCCACAAAATGGTCACAAGGCGTTGTATCAACAGTTTCGAACTGAATAAAGTTAAAGTAAAAGCAATCTGACCTTGCTACTATGCTTCCTATTGGTAAAGTATGTTTCTGGCAGAGTTGTATTAGAAACCTGAAAAGATGCAATGCCAGAAATCAGTCAAGAATAACTGCTGTCTGAGGTAAAAATCAAAATCAAATGTGGAAAGTATAGAAACCAACAGAATGAAGCTACAAGTGCATTCTTTTTTAATTCACATGCTCAAAATTTTCTCAATGTACCATGCAGATTGATCAATGTCTGACTGGTACAAATTGTGCCATGCAAATGGTAAAGCCAAGGATTCTTTTGGATGCAGGTTTCACTTTTCACTAGAACAGGAGACAATTAAGTTTTTGAAGCCTAACAAAATGCCCTAAATGTCAAAATTTCCGGTTTCTCAGTCCAAGAAGCGACTGTTATAGCCTCTGTACGTGCTTACCCACGTAGCTTGTATCAAGAAGTATGGATCAAAGATGAAGATTGTGTACTTACTTCATGTAAAAACTCAAATCCAAGAAACTCAACTTTCCCTCCAGCTAAGTTGTCCTTTTCTAATTCTTCCATGCTTGGAACTCTATATCTTTTAGGTAAGATCCCGAGCAAGTAACCAACTACAAAATGGCCAGCTTCATGCTGCATGAGGTCAGTTTCTGAGATTTAAACAGGCAAAATATTTTCAACTACAATAGATAACAACAAAACTACAACATACTACAGCAAGGTTTGATTCTTTTTTTGCTTTGACCAATTGTACAAGAATGATGCATGCCAAAACAACAGTTATTAAATTGGTGTGTGCCATCATCAGGAAATAGAACATAGTCCAGTAAGAAAGGAATATTCAAGTAGTATCACGTCACATATCCAGTCTCATTTAGTGATCTCTAAACTTGTGAAGCATACAATCTTTCACAGTCCAAATGGTTCTTTGACATATAACATATTTAGAGGACACTGGCCAGAACAACATAACAAGCATAATTCTTCATTCTTCAAACTAATGTCCATGTAAATTCCATGTGTCATTGCTACAATATCAACCACATGAAGAAAAATGCGTGGTAATTTAGTGAAAAATCAAGGGATGAAACTTGGAAATTCTCAGATGAAAACATTGAAAAGTTTTAGCCAATTTATCAATCAGTGGAACTACTGAGAACATGAACACCTAAAAATTCAAAAGAACAGGAATGCATGAGATACAAGATGAAAAGTAATTCCTTGATGTCAGTTCTCAATGCAGACTGCAGATGGTGATGCTGCAACTGGTTATATTTGAAGCATTCTAGGACCAGGTCATATGATTATATGTTAGTGTTCTGCTGGAAGTTAAAGTTTTTGGGATTCCATCTTCAATCCAGTATTGTCCAATCCATTTTAAATAGATGACTCCTAAAAAGGGGCAAAAGATTTAAACAACAAAAAATAGTAGAGTTGAAGCTTAGAATCCTACTTATCTTGTTGACATGGAAGATAAAGTATTCATAGGGGAGGTATTAGCCTTAAACACAGAGATGCGCCTGCTTTGAGATGGTAAAGGAATTTTTTGAACCTAGATACTTAGATATACGCATATAAATGCTGCAATCACTCAACATCTTTCTAGAGAAGACTCAGCTTAACTTAGCAACTTTATTTTCTCCAATATCTCTTATGTTGTCCCTGTGGGACAAGCGTATCAGTAAAGGAAATTCCTTGGTATTTGACCCTGTTGCCATTATGAGATAGGAAAGCTGATGAATCTTACCTGCAGGCACATTACACGATCATCTGACAGAGAACCATAACAGTCACCATTAGTCAGGCTATCTTGTCCTAAAAATGCTCCTGCCAAAAAGATATTGGATTCAGCAACTAAGAACATATGGCTGAAACTGACAATAAGCTGAAGATATTCAAATCTAATATGTGCTGAAGAACATGTAAATCGTGTAAAAAGAGAGCATCCAACTCTATTTACATCCTAAAAGTTACCATAACTGCCATTTTCTTAATCAGCATAATTGTGCGGTACTCTCCAAAATAGTAAGGCATGTACATCCTCCTGAGAAAAGAGATGAGTTCCTATAAACTATGAAAGATTTGTGGCCTGCTAAACTTACAAGCATCATTGGACAATAAATATCAGCTTTTCTAGTGCAACACAGGTAAAAATCATATATTTCTTGAGTAGAAAGCTAACAATGGAAAAGTGCATAGCAAAACAGTTAGAATTGGCACACAGATCATCATTCTGAAAGTGCCTTCAAGTTTGCAATTTGTGTCAGAAACATGGAAACATAAAAAAGGGAGGAAAAATGCATATGAGTGGCATGTACATTACAAGGCACTGACATCATTTGGACACTAAGCAGTAATCAGGTTCAGCAATAACCAGCCTATATCTCCCACCAATCACTTCCCCATTTCTTAACTGCATGTTTTATTTGAAACAATTATTAATTCTATTCATAGCTGGGCTAATGACCCAAATGAGCCTCCTTGCTGCAGGGTAACCAAACCTGTTTGTCTCATGCATACTGGTCACTGTGTAACCTAAGTGCAACAGCGGATGAGATTATCCATCCAGCACTGCACCTTGAGTGCCTCCCTTAGCTACGTATCTATTTAATACCCCTTCTGGAATTACAAAATTCTATCCTTCCATGTTTTCAATAAGATTAGACAATTCACATGCAAACTCACATAGAAAATGTCTTCTAACATGACTAGTAGGTCAAAGGATAGTATATCATGAATAGAAAAAGAAAAACAGGATGACATATCACAGGATTCTGTTATCATTGCATTTCTTTCAGGGGAACAAAGTATGGTGGTATCTTAAAGCAGCACCATATCAATCTCAAAATGATTTGGGTGGATGCCAATTCAGATTAAAGGCCATTATATGGTCCCCAGGGATCCCCGTGTTAGGCAGTAAGTTGGTGAATATCCTGAAAGAGAACAGAGCAAAGCATGACTACTAATTAGTTGTCCATGTTGTCACCTTGAACATGCCATCAGAAGTAGGTATGCCACAATTTAAACAAAGTATAGCACGTGGATTAATGGTAGATTTCCTTAAATGTGCCAACAAACTTGAAAAGCTTATAAACGTGGGACACAAAATAAAAGCTTTCCATACATTCTCCTATTAAGGTTACAATTTCTGAAACATGATAGAGCAAATAAGAAACATGGCAATGCAAAATCGAGGAAGAAAATTAATCTGGCAGCTTTTTTATGAGTACAATAAAACTTACCTACCTTTTCCTCCAATGCAAACTGCCTGCAGCACTTGACTAAATGCAGAATGGAATCAACAGATGAGTGAAGAGACATTTTATCAGCATCATTCAGCTCTAGTTCATCCACGACTGAGATTCTTTTTGGCACCTACACATACCAAAATATGCACTTTCGATAGTCGGAACAATCCTCAACAAAATATGGGGGAATTTTCTACTTTGCATACAGAGACATTACCAGCCTTAATTCCCATCTTCGCCCTATTTGGCAGAACATATATCAAGTGTTTGGACCCTAACATGCTAATTTTTTCGCTTCATACTTCACAATACAGACTGCAATAGCTTTCTTATAACCTACAAAAAGACTTGAATGACATGATTCTTTCAAGCTAGTTTTACAAATTATTGAGCATCAGATATGGTCTAATGGAGGAGGGTTTTTTTGTTCTTTTTTCTATGTCTTAACACCAAATTTCAATACTTACAATCAGCATTTCTCCTGTCCTCATTCAATCTCAATCAGCATTTCCCGCCAAAACAGAATTTCTTCGAAAACCCAATAATTCTTCCCTTTCTTTACAGGACAAGTACAGACACATAATTAATCCCAAGAACAAAAAAAGCTTCATCGAAGAACATCAAAATATTTTCAAAAATTAGATGGTATATATTATTACCAATTTGACTGCGCCAAAGCCGCGTAGTCCATCAGGCTTCCCCTGCAACTGCTTTGCTAAAGACAACGCAGCCTTGAAATTCCCCTTCTCCAGCTCTCTATCCACTCTCTTCAGTCCTCTCCGACGTCGTATGGCCTCGTCTTCTTTGTTTCTCAATATCCCCCATACCCTTAGGGTTCCAGCTGGCGCGCAAATCTCTTTAGACAAAATATTCATCAATTCAGGAATTTTACGAATGATTAAAGTTCAAGTTTTGTTGCAAAAAGATAACGGCTATGCGGAGAATACGACGTCGCCTGGACCCATTGCATTTTATCCTCTTCGACTTTTTTGTGGCTGAAAATAAAAGCCTTTTTGCATAATTATGTAAATGCATTTTTTTGAGTATAAATACATTATAAGAATAGATTAATTATAGATTAGAAGCTAATTATTCTATGCAGTGTTAGGTGAAATTTTCAGTTGTTTGGATGGCTAGTGTGGTATATGGCAATGGTGGGCATAGAGGGATGTTATCCTTTCACTATTCCTGTTCATATTCCAGGTTTGGATTGCAGAATTCTAGGACAGTGAATTGCTTATCTGAGGATACAGGTGGTGCAGTAAGATTAAGGTGGCAAGTACTGGAGCAAGTGGATGAGGAGCTAAGCAAGGGGGATGAGAGGGCTGCATTGTCCTTGGTCAAGAATTTACAAGGCAAACCTGGTGGTCTCCGGTGTTTCGATGCTGCCCGGCAGGTTTAATTGCTCAAACTCAATACTATCTTCGTTTTCTTTTGTTTGAATTTAAACTGTGTTTAATTTGACTGGCTAGTTAGTTGAATTCTTAGACACTTGATTTTGGATGACTATAGATTGTTTGTGGTTTGTCTGGAGAGTCACTGCTTGACTTATCGCTCTTTTCCCAGAGGAAAAGGAGCTTTCTCTTGCATTTTTGGTGCATTGGTTGATGAACTTTTAAGGTTAACTTGTGGTAATGTTGGAATGGACATTCTTTGTGCGTCGGATTACATCATTGCTACATTTTCATAGTAATGATGATTGTTCTTTTTCTTGTATATACTTGGTTTGCTTGATTTTAAGTAGGGCTATCTCGTATATATTTGTATGTACTCAAAGTTGTGTAACGTTGATGGATATTTGGCAATGTGTCTGAAGTCCTTGAGTAGATTTTGTGCAGGTACCTCAGAGGCTCTATACCTTGGATGAGCTAAAGTTGAATGGGATTGAAACTGCATCCCTACTTTCACCAGTGGATGCAACGCTAGGCTCTATAGAAAGGAATCTGCAGGTTGCTGCTCTTTTAGGAGGAGTTGCAGCATGGAACGTGTTTGATTTAAGCCCACAACAACTCCTATTTTTCTCACTAGGATTGTTGTTTTTCTGGACACTAGATGGTGTAAGTTCTGAGAAAACTAGTTAAGTTGTTTGAGCCACCTGTTCTGTACTATCAAAGGATTTTGCGTCTTGTGCATGATATTCAATAGATTGCTTCCTGGCCTTGAGACATTACTGTTGCTTCTATCTGCATGTGTAACTACTAGGGTCAATACTTCTTTATCTTTCTCCCTTTCCTTTTATTTGTACATTACTAGGCTGAGCAAGTTTAGGTATATCATAAATCAAATGTCACCAGCTTTGTTCCCTTTGATGTAATGAACAGTTAAATGGATTCATTTTTCTTTTGCATGAAATGAAACATATGAATGATGCTAATCCTCTGCCTTTCCAAGTTGTGTGAAACTATATAATTGGAGCCACAAATTTGACTTTGATCCAGTTTTTGATGCTAAAAGCATATGCTTTCCCATGAATAGAAATCCTGATGCAGGGGTAAAATGGGATTAAGAAATTCCCTTTTTATAAGATCATCTGTTTGTATCGTGCCTACTGTCTAGCAGTAACATTCAGTGAAATTAAGGCTATGATAGCTCACCACATCCAAATATTCTCTTGAAGCTTAACAAGTTATTTCGAACATTGGTGAAATGCTGATTGAAACTACTGAACTTGACTTTGCTATCATACATCTTTTTACTTTGAAATTAAATATACTCAGGTCTCATTCAATGGAGGAGTCAGTGGCTTGCTTCTTGATACCATTGGTCACACCTTCAGCCAAAAGTATCATAGCAGGGTTATTCAAGTGAGAGCTCTCTCTCTCTCTCTCTCTCTCTCACACACACACACACACACACACACACACAAGAAACTTGTTTTTGTTTTTTTTTTTTTGATTTGTCTGGCCATCATTATTGTCAAGAAACATTCTTGTTTTTGTTTTTTAATTTGTCTAGCAATCGTTATTGTCAAGAAACATTCAGGCATAGAGATTCTTTACTTCTTTATTCGACCACCTAGCATTTGTATTCCAGTTGCCGTTAAAAATCATTATTTATCTTTAGGAATATCTTTCTTTATTTTTTCCTTTGTTGTGTCTCCGTAATTGATCTTGTAACAAGTAGCTTGTTGCCGAAATGTGATATAGCATGAAGCTGGGCATTTCTTGACTGCCTACCTGCTAGGAATTCTCCCAAGGGGGTACACACTGACCAGCTTGGATGCTTTGAATAAGGAAGGATCACTCAATGTTCAAGCAGGAACTGCATTTGTGGATTTCGAGTTTAATGAAGAAGTAAGTTTTCTCCTAATCTGGTCATAGATCTCAGAAGATGCACTCCTGGACATAGAACTGAAATTGTATATCTTGGATTTCCAGTAGAGTTGTACTCTACAGGTTAAATTCTTATAGAGTAATTGTGTTCCGGAAGTAATTGTATATTATCTGCTAAATTGTAATGAAATACCTTTTTGGCTTTTGCATGCTTGTTTTGAACAGTTTAACACGAGCTCCATTACTTTCTCATACAGGTAAATTCAGGAAAATTATCAGCCACGGTAAGCCCCCTTAGCTGATATGACACATAGAATTTCAAATGACATCCTCCAGGCATAACGTTTCTCATGTCATGCTGTTCTCAGATGCTGAACAGGTTTTCATGTATTGCCCTTGCTGGTGTTGCAACAGAATATCTTCTCTTTGGTTATGCTGAGGGAGGTCTTGCTGATATTGACAAGGTTTGCTTTATTAATCTGCTTCTTCAGTTTTCCCACTAAATATTACACTTAAATACAAGCTGTAGGGAGCTGACTATTGCTGTAAATTGATTAACTTTCCAGAAAAATGAAGATAAAGTAAGAGAACATTGTAGGCAGCTTTTAAGTCAGAATTTTTGTGGAAGAACATATTATTGACTTCATGCAATAATTACCTTTCCTTTTGAAAAGTGTAGATGTGGCAAAAGGCTAATAGGAATGATATAACCTCATGCTATGTCATAATTTTCAGTAACATGACGGTGAATGTCAAGGACTTGGTCACTTCCAAGCAATTAAGTTAATGCACTGAATCATTAGAACTATTTCCCCACTGTCATTATGAATGCACTTCTTCGAGATGAGTCGTAATATTTTGCTTTTCATAGTGATGATCTCTGTGGTATATTTTTGATTTAATCTAATAACCTATAGAGCTTTCTTGGTGCATGTCAACGGGAGAATTCATTTTCAAACCTTTTGTTCCTTTCCTTTTCAATTCAGGTAATGGTGAGAAAAAAGAATCTTTGCTTGCCATCTTTTAACTGCATTTGATGATATGCGAAAGTATGTTGAAGGGAAAACATGTTTTAAGTGTACACAAAAGTTACAGAAATAATAATAATGATAATATTAATAATAATTTGGTCATCACATCAGTTCAAATAAGATAAGAGTTATCGATCACTTGTATAAACTACAAATCAATTGCTCTATGCTATCGGATATGGGAAAATAGTTCTATCTCAGACTATTCTGGAAAATTGGCTTCTTAGTATTATAGATGTTCTAGATTTTAACCAAAAAAAAAGCATAAATCATTGTACTTTTAGTTATTTGAGATAATTTATACGAAATTCTTAATAGAACTGAGAGAGATTTAAAAAGCAATGTATAGTTTATCCAAGACCAGTTAAAGAGGAACGATAAATGAACTCAGCCAGCTACCCCTTTCTCTTATAAATGCAGCTTCGACAAAAAATTTCTTATTATTTTATTTTATGCACTTTACATATTATAGACTTTATAGTAATATTTTATATCCACTTTACATTTTGTATGCTAAATGGCTCACACTTGAAGCTACCTACCCATCCTAAGTCACTCGAACCTCCCACGGCATGAAGAGCTGTAGGGATACAATATGTTGAACACACCAAAGCTACTCTCCTGTACGTTCAAATGTGATATTTGTCATAAGAAAAGACAAATGATATTTTTACTCCAAAAAAAAAAAAAAAACTCCGTGCACTCTACCCTTCTTTATAACTTAATGAAATAATATAAAAACCTATCAAATATTCTAGGAGACAGCATTACCCCTCTATGTATTCGCCAGTAACTTTGTCTCTTCAATTCGCTTAGTTTTTCCTACTCTAAAATGAGGTTTAAATTTTTATACAACTAATAATAAAGGAAATTTCTGATACTTTATCTACAAAATCACCTAATTGTGTTTACTATATTTTTCTAAAATAGTAAAATCCGGGAAAAAAAAATTTTTTGGTGGTTTTTTTGGGCCCCGGCGCGGGGGGTGGTGTTGTATTGGGGATACCTTTCCCAATTCTATTGGAGTCCAAGTCTTCTTTGAAAATGAAATATGAAATTTTTCTCAGCCACAATATCAGATCATAATGTGGTTGATGGCAAGTTAGCAACATTTAGTTTTTCTCGGCCTTGTTTAAAGGGTTTTTCCTATGTAGCAATCTGCCGACAGTCTATGTCGATTTGTATTATAAAGTCAACTGTTTGTGCTCTTCATAAACTAGTCGTTATTGAATTATACAGATATCAGTTGGGGTTTGTTACGATACTATTTGTAATATTCTAAGCCCACAAGCTGCCCCAAATAACTTTTGAATTAAAATCATAAATTCAAAATGATTATTTCATATTATTAATAATCCGACGGTCCGAAGGTTATATACCATTTCTTTCCACTTTCATTTTCGGATGTGGGATACTTCACCTATTTGACATCTTTAACCACGCCCTTTAACATCATTTTCGGATGTTAAGTGCACGTATCGGACTGATGGTTGATTGAAGGGTTGATGATCAAGACTCGAATTCAGTGAACCATTCGGTAAACCATTAAGAAATTTGAAGGCTGCATTTATATTTTGTAAATGCAGACTTCTGTCATAAAGATTTTTCCACAAGATGATCAGGACTTCCAATCTACAATCAAAAAGCTCGTTTGAATTGCTATTTTCTAGAGTTTTTATAGAAAAAAGTTCTGTAGCGATCTGATGTACATAAGATAAAAATATGATTGAAAAATGTTTTCATGAAAAACATAAATTTTTTTTGAAAACAAAAATTGCAGTCCAAACAAGGCTTCAGGGTCTATTTGGTGCAACATAAAATGCCTTTTTTACCTCACAAATATTTAAATGCTGGTTGTTTTCCAGGATATTAATTGCTCTCCGCCTTGGTTTGTGGTGTTTGTACCTATATAAATTAGGTTGGGTTACAAATGTGCCTTCAAGCCATTCCAACAATTCAAAATAAAAAATCATTATAAATGACTAATAGCATTTTTCACTCCTAACTGAAATTCCAGTTTAGACACAACGCATTTCAAACTTTTAGATTTGTCTCGTTGCCTAGACAAAAGTTAACACGTACATGCCACTGTAACTGTTTAAACCAGGCATATCAGTGAAATCTTTCTATTTTGCATCCACTAATTTTGTTTCAAACGATATGCTTGTCTGTTTTTCTAAGTGCTATCTTTGTTGAGGAAGGCCATGGACTTTTCTTGCTACTAGAGTGGATATGAACTGTGTAGTTAGTAAAAGAATTAAGATTCGAAATCTACTTTTCAACGAGTGGTATTCCAGAACGATCAACTTATTGTATTGGGACTCTTATCTCAATTAACCATAATTACATGGAGAAAAGGGTGAAGAAAGTTGTCCCTTTTCTTCTCCTTCTACGATCAATTTTGCAATTGTTTTGACGTGTATTTTGGGCATCCATGTCCAAGAAGACCAAGAAGAAGAGTTGCTACTTACAACGACAATGGAGTAATATCTATTTTTAACAAAATTAGCCTACTCTCCTCCCATTCAACCTAGAAAATGCAAGCAACCGTGCTTCCAACCAACCCTGAAAATGTGATAACTAATTTGGAATCTTTTTTTAAGGGTATAAAATGTGTAAAATTAAAGCCTTACGTACAAAGTAAAAATGGATAGAAATATGAATTGCACAAAGTCAAGTCTTAGGGATGGAAAAAGAATTCACCTACCTTAGAATGAGATAGGTATCCTCCATTCCGCGCTTAAAAAAAAGGGAAACATATATTTTAAGTTTACAAGTTGATAGGTCACAATTTTGTCATTTATTTTATAATTAATTCTCTCTTATTATTTTACTAAATGTGCGTTAATTGGCGGAATCTATTCACTTTTGGAAATTTGTGCTAATCGCAGGAAGTTGGAACAAAATATGATAAAAAGGTGCAAATTTCTCACTACATTTGCTGTTTGGCGTCGCCGCGTCAATTCAGTGTTTAACGTGTCCAAGAAACTATGGAATGATGCGTGATATCCAACTGACAATTGGAAGTGTAATGTGGGGCCCGAATATTCCATTATTGTTTGATCTGAATTGACAAAAGTAGTTTAACAAAAATAAGAAACTTACCCATTAGTATATTTCCTTGTTTGTTGGTTGCGGTTCAGTAGGATAGATAGAAGTCAATTGAGACTAGGTCACTTCACTTAGCTTTTAGAGGTCATCCGCCACAATCAAGAACACGATTTGCCTTTTGTCTTGTTCTTTTCCTATTTCCATCGATTTCATCATCCCAATTACAGGGAATGCATCCATCAATTGATTTTGCAATTTCGCGCGAGATTGTCTCAACGGAGATGAACTAAATCTCTTTTTCTAGTCAAGGAACAATGAAAGACTTAGTTCAACTTAAATTGTGAAATCGAACTGATTTTATTTTTTCCTATTATTTTCTGGTACTCATATATTTCCTACTTTATGTTCTTATGGTTGTTGCATTATTCAATTATTCTGGGCTCGGATTTTAGATTAATTCGATAACCTAATACCAATTAGAATAATTAAATCCATAATTGTTTAATTATTCTAAATTAGTAGTAACTGGCATGATTGGATTTGTGTCAGGAAAATATACAGGCTAATTTGAAACAGCCCTCGTAGCGTGTTGTTTGGTTAGAACAGGGTTTCTCTAATTCGTAAGGCAATTGAAAAATTGGATTCTACAATCATATCTAGGATTATTTGACAATTAGGGTAATAGCTAACGGTCGTACCTTGGCTATCAATAATTTAAGGAAAAATTGACTATCATCGCTTGTTTGGTAGTTATAACTTATTTATCAGTTTGTAAGTGAAATTATTCTTACATTGATGATCAATTAGAAGAACCATTTCCGAAGTTGCTTCTTGACTAGAGCTTGTCCAATATTGTTTGAGTCTCAATAATTTGCCATTTACTTTGAGTTATTTATTATATTCAAGTAGTCTAGTTACTTTTATAAAATTCCCCGTATCCTGAACTCTAGAAGAAGTTAATTTCTCCCAATCCCTGTGGATTCTACCCTGCATACCACTAGATATAAAATTTATATTTAGCTTGTGTAGGAATTTATTATTGCACAGGCTCGACAACCTGTCAGAAGTCTAATACAACTTAATATACCGATGCTACATTGATAAGTGCATATTTTGAATGTTTTAAGTGTATTTTATTATTTAGTTTTGGTGTGTTTTAGTTACTTTTATAACTAATTAACTAAGTTTGTAGTGAAAATATGCATTTTATAGTTTAAATGTGAAAATTTGCATTTCTATGGATTTTAATGGTGAAAACTTCATGTTTTTGTAGGTTTAATGATTCAATCATCAAATGACATGAATTGAAAAGATAATTGGATGATTATTAATGATTTAAACTTATAAAAAGAAGATATGAAGTGCAAAATGCTCAAAGGATAAAATGCAAGTTTGATAGCTTTGACACCTTGTGGTATTTTGGCTATATCTTGAGTTAAAAGCATCAGATTGAGATGATTCTTAAACCATTTTGCATCTATGAAATAGATCTACATTTTTAATGAAGACATCAAAATCCAATTTGCAATTTTTCCAAGTCAAAAAGTCAAAATATAGAAGTGCATTTTCATTGTCGAAAGCTGAAACAGGAGATTGACCAGTTGAGGGTATTTTGGTTATTTCTCGATCCACAGAGCTGCAAATTAGATGATTTTGATGCATTGGAAAGATAGCTCAAAGGGCTACAAATTTTATGTTTTACATAAGAGCTAATTTAGCATCCATAATCGAAAAAATGTCAGTTGGTTTTGGACGAAAAACAGAGTAAGAATGACTTCTACCCAAAAAGTGCAAACCTGCAAAGAAGAAAACGTGGAGTGAAATACATGACCTAAGGTCGCGTATTCTAGTTCTGCATTCACACAATCTTTCTAACTCATCTACAACTCAAAATTTCGACTAT